GTCCCCCTTTTTTATCCGCTCTTCGTCTTGTTGTTGTTGTTTTTTAATGTAACAATCCGTGACATCTTCTGTATTGATATTCAAATTAGTGCAGAGCTTTGGGTGGACTTAGATGAAATTCACCAGCTATTTATACACGGAGCATATTATATCCAACACTTTGCTTCACCGCCATCCGGGTTTAGCGTGGATTAAAGCGAGGCGTAAACAAACGCACGAAGGCCTTTGCGCTTTCTCCTCAGATTTTTTTCTCATGTTATCTGAACTAGCAAACTGTGATGCCAAAAAGATCAAGCGATTGTTTCATTGTATTTTATGCACAGGATGAGATTGTTCTTTTGAAACAAAGAGCAAGATACCCAGTCATGAAATGGATAGTAAAATCCCGCTGTTTCATTACCAGACGGCCTTGTTATTTCTATCATAGCTAAAAGGCATTTTTACCCTTTCCTTTCTCTCTCATTCTCACAATCCGAGGGGTGTTTATCTATCTTCAGGATATGGTGATGCTGTGACAGCTGTTTTGGAGGAGTTGTGTAGAGATCCCTTTGTTGAAAGCCTCACCAGGGTTCCTCGGGCGTCCCTTGAACTGCCCTCTCCCCGCTGGAGGTTTGTTGACTGAGCCTGTGGCCCATTATTCTCTCAGGTGTGGGTGTTGGCCGTTGGGGTTTGATCCACATCTGTTCGGCCTTTAGGTCACTCCAGTGGTGGGCTGCACACAGAGCTCTCTGTGAGGTAGGAAGGGTCTCTTCTAAGGTCTGTGTGTCCATGTGGAGAACACAGATCTTTAGAGATGCATGAAGATGTGGGGTCCCTAAAGTACACAAACAGTACCGGACAGAGTCAACGTGTCTGTCTGCCCTCTCACTCCACAGGAAGTCACCAACTTTGCATCATCTTCCATAATTTCACCAAAAACGCTCAATACCTTGCCCCATTTTGAGACAATGTCCATAGATATGATTCAGAACTGCCTGGTGAAAAAAGCTTCCTTTCACAAATGAAATTTTAACTTAACATTTATTATTTTACATATATGTATATTCTTTTCCTTGCATCTCCCTCAATCAGTCTCTCTTGACATACTCCAAAGCATGGCTATGAAAAACAGGAAGTGAGGGTAACGGTAGTATGTTCCCTCTCGACGAGGTGCTTAGATGTGAAGTTTTTCTTATTCTCACTCTTGTCTCGCTTTTGCGTGAAATGTCAAAAACAACACGATGCAAGTCTGGAAACAAACATACAACAGAGAAAAGAGAACACAAAAACACCCCAAAAAATATATTTCTGTTCTGTTAAGTCCTTTCTTTCTCCGTCTGATCTTCTGAGGCCGCCTGAGGGAGCAGATTGTGTCTCTGACAGCAAACTTCCTCAGGACCTACAGGGGAAGTCAGAGATGACGTGTTCTACAGAAATGTCATTTCTCTCTTGTAGCTGAGCGTCCTCAGGCTGAATGACAGTCTGAAGCCGAGAGGCGGCACTGAACTCAGGGTGGCTGAAGGCTTTCTCTTTCTCTATCCGTCCTGCTCTTTTGGCTGGTATTGAGATTAGATTACGTGCTTTCAGGGGCTATAGATGCAATACTGCAGCTCGGTAGATGTGTTTGGGATTTTTTGCTGAGATTACAGAGATTATGAAAAGCATTATGAACATCCTCCAAAAAGAAGACAATGAAAGGGATAAAACAAGCAGAGTATCATGAGAGGGAAGATGACAGGCCTTGAATTTCTCTTATTAGGGCCTATTGTTGGATGAATTAGTTGCTCATGTTTTTGCTCATCTCAGTTGATTGAACTGTACTTTTGGTTTTTATGCCTGTTTTTCACCTGTTTTAAAAAAATGTACAAGAAGATCTTTAATCGCATAATAATAATAATAGCAATAATAAAATTATTATTTTTTTTTTTATCATTGCTATTTGTTGCTAAGGTGTTGCTATGCTATGATTTCCAGCCCAAGTTCTTAATTAGTCTCAGTTCCCTTTGAGACCACAGTAGTTTCTGATTCCTCCCATAATAAAGTAATTTCTCATTTAAAATAATTATTAATGTATCTTACTTACAATAATTAATTAATTAATTAAACTTACAGAAGTGAAAAGGTTTTTTGAAAATCTCATAAATAACTGAATGAACTTTTTCAAGATGACCCATAGGAAAAAATGTATTGCTCAGTGTTGCTTTTCCTAAGCTCAGGAGACTTAGATGAGATTCTCATATATCTCTCATTTTAGTATCAACAGCATTTCAGATGTTTCTCCTAAAATTCCTTAGGAGAAATGGAAGTAGACACAAATGAGACATGAGAAATATTTGAGAAAAAAAGAGTCAAAACAGAGAATATGGTGGAAGAAACATAGAATATCTCTTTATTGTCTTGCTGCAATCTCTATCAAGACTCCATTAGGAATATTTTATTGCTCAGTGGTTGCTCTTTCTAACCTCAGGAGACTTAGTTGTGATTCTCATGTATTTCTCATTTTAGTCTCAACAGTGTCTCAGATGTTTCTCCTAAAAATCCTTAGGAGAAATAAAAGTAGACACTACTGAGACATGAGAAAGTTCTGAAAAAAATGAATCCAAAATGAAAATGGGGGAGAAACGTGTGAGAAACATGGGAGATCTCTTTATTGTCTTTCTGTAATCTCTTGCAAGACTCCATTATAAAAATGTTTTACTATTTAGAGGTTGCATTTTTGATTGCAATGGGGGTTTTCACCTTTAATGGTCAGGATAGTAGGAGTAGAGACAGGAAACAATTGGACAGGAGAGAATTGAACAGAAGCAGGAAAGTACATTTAGCTGGGATTCGAACCCATGTTGTCTGAGGTGCAGTTGTGTCTTTACATTGATGTGCTGCCCACAAGGCTATGGCTTTGTCTTAAGATGTCTTCAGTTTTATTTTAGGAGAAACGTTAAACTTTTACTAATATTGTAAATACTAAAACTATAATTTAAATGGCATTAAACATTTCAGAATATCAAGGGTTATAGTTTAAATGTTTAAATTTATCTTCAATGTCCAGCATTGTATATAGGCTACACCACATGTTCCAAACACACTAGAAAGGACTTACAAGTGCAAGATGTTAAGTATAAGAGCAATACCTTTTTTAACAAATGTAACACTATACCAGTGTACCAGTGTTTTTTTTTTTTAGCATTAACATTTTGTCTTGTACAGCCCATTTTTGCATGTATGTAAATATAGGTTATGGTTTCCTCTGTTAAATCATTGTGCGAAATCTCTTTAACATTTCAAATATTTATCCTAGACAGAAATAAGGTTACTTTAAGATTGAATGGAAACTTTTGCTTGAGTCTCCTTCTTCTCAAACTTGTCTCTTGAGACAAAAATTCTAACACTGTCACAATGGTCTCCTTTAAAGCTTGAGAAGAGATCTCAACAACACCACACACTGTGCTCAGATTTTTCTCCTAATCTAAAGACTCTGGTGGTCTCATATATGTCTCCTTCAAAGTTTCAAACAAGATCTCAACAACATCACACACTGTGCTCAGATTTATCCCTTTAGCTAGAGACGATGGAGCTCTCACATGTGTCTTCTCAAATTTATAGAAGAGATCTCAACAATATCACACACTGTGCTCAGATTTTTCTCCTACACTAAAGACTTGGGAGCTTCTCACATTTGTCTCCTCTAAAGTTTAGAAGAGATCTCAACAACATCACACACTGTGCTCAGATTTTTCTCCTATACTAAAGACTCAGGAGCTCTCACAGTTGTCTCCTATAAATTTCAGAAGTGATCTCAATAACTTTACAAAGTGTGCACCAAGTCAAATGCCTCAAATGAAAAATGAGCTCAAACATGTCTACCATATAATATGTATTAATAATCAAATTAGTCAATTAATAATCAAGACTGAGTCATAAGCCATGTATGTGCCTTTCAGCAAAGAAAGCTCCAGGGTTACATTTTCTATAGATCAGTTTTGATTAAGGCATCCGGTACATTACTATTTCCAACAACAAATTATGTGCCCAAGTACATAAACATTGTCTTATAAAAAGTAACATTATCCTTATTTCTGCATAATTTCTCTCTCATTATAGCCTTTAACTCTGAATTTATGATTTTCCCCCTTTTATTTAGTGCCTTTCAAGTACTTGACTTGGTGCACACTTTGTAAAGTTGTTGAGATCTCTTCTAAAGCATTACAGGAAACAAATATGAGACCCCCAGATTATTTAGCTAAAGAGAAAAATCTAATCACAGTGTGTGATGTTGTTGAGATCTCTAATCTAAACTTTGGAGGAGACAAATATTAGAGATCCAGAGTCTCTAGCTAAAGAGAAATATCTGAGCACAGTGTGATTTTGATGAGATATCTTCTAAAGCTTTAAAGGAGACAAATGTGAGAGATCCAATGTCTGTAGCTAAGGAGAAAAATCTGAGCACAGTGTGTGATGCTGTTGAGATCTATTCTAAAGCTTTAAATGAGACAAATGTGAGAGTGTTAGAGTTTTTGTATCAGGAGACAAGTTTGAGAAGCAGGAGACTCAAGCTAAAATCTCCATTCGATCTTAAAGTAACCTAATTTCTGTCTAGGAGAAATATTTGAGATGTTAAAGAGATCTCACTTTTGATTTTTCTTTCCTATGGGGACTTACATTATTTCATGTATTGTAATGCATAAAATGCATAAAAAAATCTACATTTTCCTTTAGTTTGATACTTTTACCTGATAAATACCTGAATTAACTAGGTAGACCTACATTATATTCTGTTTTGTAATGCATAAAATGCATAACAAAAAAACATACATTTTGTGAATCTTTTTAATTTTATATTTTTTCCTGATAAATAACTGAATTAACTTTTTATAAGTAGACTTGCATTGTAATTTACGTATTGTAATGCATAAAATGCACAATAAAAATGCTAACTTCTACAATATCCCAAAATAAACAAGTGAAAGAAGTGCTTTTGGTATGTGATAAATTAAAATCATATTTGTCTGTTTCTCTCTCTGTAGGTGATGAATGGTACCTGTGCTGGCTGACTCTGACCCTCCCCAACCTGTCAGATGTGCAGTGGGCCATGTTCCCCTACCCCTACTTGGCAGCTGTAGGCCCTGACACTGGTGCTGGCTCTGTGGTCTACAAGCTCGTGGCCCGAAGTGGAGATGGCTCCGTGGGAACAGCTCACTTCCTTTTAGTTGGTGGTGGGTTTGATGGGCGGACTCTTTGATAATCGGAAAACTGTCAATACAATCATTCTGCTAGTTAAAACGCTGGCCCACTTTAGATGGAAAGGGAATTAGACTGATGTCTCACACGCAGACATGCATTAAATGGTCAATAATTTTAACCCCTTGAAACTGAAATAGTTTAGATGGAATATTTAGCTCAGGTTTGAGAGAAATTCAAAGACTGACAGGAAATATCAGTTTTTTTTTTAGCAGTTTGCCATGAAATCATAATTGACACCACATGCTTTTATTTTGAAACAATGGCAATGACGTGTCTTTTTTATCAGCCAGTTGGTTAACACTGTAATATAAATGGCATAAAATGCTAAGTCACTAATGTAATCCATGCCTTTTCCATAGTTATTCACTAGTGTTTAAGTGATTTCATTTAGTGCACGGAGCGCAACAAAGGTTAAATGAATCTGAGGCATGATTAGAATTCTGTCTAATTAGTCAGAAGCAATCAGACTAAACAATATTTAAACATACAATTCTGATCTGCCCGTATATGTGTTAGTGTATGTGTGCTTTGGGACAGGTGTGCCGTACTAGTTTTATTGTACCTCCAGGACATCTTCAGAAACATCATAACCTCTCATAATGGTTAGTCATTCATCATCTGATATGTTGTGACATTACAAAATTACTTCTCTGGTCCATAAGGATTTAGACTGCTATAAATATTCTGTCTCCGGTGATATTACACTCAGATGTTTATAAACTCTGTGTTTTGGTGCTGTTGCCTATAGCGCTCTTCCTCCAAGTATTTGATCTGTCTTTTAGGTGAATGTCATTCATTGTCAGTTAGACTAGGTTTGCACTTACAGAATGGATGACTAGTCTTTGTAGGACAAAAGTGTTAATGTTTTAGATAAGCATAGATTTTAGACCTTGATTTTGCAGAAATATGACAGAAATTATAAAAAGGACAGTTCTGGTACAGCACTTTGGTCAACTAAGGTTGTTTTAAATGTGCTTTATAAATAAATTGAACATTGAACACTCTGGTCCTGGATGCTGATTGGTCAGTATGGCATTCCAGCCATGTTACGTTTCACAGTGGCACAATATTTTTATGAAAAATTGTCCATAACAAAATCAAGGCCATGTTATATTATGAATATTTTCACAGCTGAAGGGCTGCAGGCACTACTGTAACTGTATGTTGTGCTTTACAGCATCCTTTAGACATGACTAATCTACCATTTTTGTAGTATAGGCAGATATAGTTGGTAAAATAGATACAACAAACCTATCACCCTAAACAAAACACCAAACAGTAATTGGAGGTAGCTCAGCGTTTTTCTGTCTAAGTGGGCAATTCTTAGCCAGAATAAGCTGCAAAATGTACATAATAGGAATAGGATTCACTTCACACCATTAACAACAACTTTTTAGTTATTTGAAGAGAGCTTGTAAGTAGGGATGCTCCGATCCTCCTTTTTCGCCTCCCATACCGATTCCAATACCTAGGGTTCGGTATTGGCCGATACCGGTACCGATCCGATACCAGTGAAGTTTTTTTCCCCCCTTTTAAATAAATGTAGAATTTATATATCTCTGTGTGTGGAACTGATAATCATTCTTTCACAATCGACTAGATTCTGTCACGAATTCGGTCCATGGACTTCCGTTTATTCACCACCAGAGGTCACCCTTTCCATTACATTGACTCTCGCACAACACAAACTGTTGCATAGCACCCCGGACTACATATCCCATCATTCTTTGCACGATTTGCACACTGCACTGATTGCACTCATTGCACACAGCTGTTTCTAATCACCTCACTCACTATATAACACCCACTCTAACCACCTTTCTTGACGCCGAACGGCCGCTAATTCAAAAGTGAAAGTAAAATGCACACGCCACTTTTAAGCTATTTAAAAGCGAAGGAAAGCGAGGGAAAATTTTAACGAACTAAAAACGAACAATTGCTTTACTCCGAATTGCCGCTATTTTTTTTTTATAAATATTTATTTATAAAGCATTTGGATCGGCCCTCTCTGACCGATATCCGATCCGAGAAAAATGTCACTATCGGAGCCGATACCCGATATGAATATCGGATCGGCGCATCCCTACTTGTAAGAACAGAATCAAGCGTGATTCTGGATCAGAACCTCTGCTCGTAGCAGATGAGCATTCAAGCAGCTGGAGAAAGGGCAAGGCGAGGCGGGTACAGCTGGGAGATCTGCTCCGCCTCAGCAGCTGTGTTCTTCATCCACCTCCTCTTCCTCGACTCTCAAATAACGACATGCTCAAGGGGACAGCGGTTAAAATGAGCTCTCTGTCTTGCTATTGTCCTGAAGCAGGAACGGAGGGGAGCATATTGCTCCTCACACACACAGATGCACTGAACCACAGCTGGCAGAAGTGTCCCTCACACTTAACGTGTGTAAAAAGACTTGAAGGCTTTTGTGACTGTCTTTGTAATGCTCTTGCACTTTGAGCTGAACTTTACAAGAGTTGCTCTTTTAATATATGATTATAAACAAGTGTCACATCAGTTTTTAGGCGATGTTTGCAAATTGGTAACATGCCATAAGTCATAATTTTTAAAGTTAGGCAGGTTGTTCCTATACAATACATTTTCATGTCCCTATAATATGTATCTTAATATACTGGATAAAATATTCACAATTTTTGAAATCATATTAGTTTCTGCTTACCAAAATGGTTATTTTAGTATTATTTTATTTATTATTAATGTATATATTCATATCTTGAATTAGGTTTTATTTTTATATTTTTTGTTACATTTTTAATTTAATTTAATTTTAATTTAACTTTTGATTGTTAAATTTAGTACTACAAATTAATTTATTTCAGTTAGTGCAACATTTCTGAGTTAAAGTTTACCCTTTTTATCTAATATTTTATTTATTTTTATTTGTATTTATTTATTTTATTGCATCTTCATTTCTAATGCCAAAAATGTAAATGTAATTTGGAAAATAATACATCATAAATATACAGATTACAAAATAAAATGACAGAAATCTGTATTTTAATATGTATATAAAAATATGTATATTTTTAAGTATTTGCCTTATTTTCTTTTCTTTTCTTTTATTATTATTATTTTTAGCTTAATTTCAAATACTGAAAAGTATTTTTAGTAGTCTTGGTTTTAGCTTTAGTTTTAGCTAACAATAACAACACTGGTCCCAATATCATTTATAAATATAATTTAAAAATAATAAATCACAAAAATATAGATTACAAAATAAAATTATAGCAACCTAGATCTTAATATTAAAATATATTTTTTAAATATTGCCGTTAGAATTTTTTTTATTTTTTTATTTTTGCTACATTAATTGGGTGTGTATTTTGTGACAGGTGGAGAAGATTCATTTGAAGTAGACAGAGAAACAGGAGAAGTGAAGACCACAGGGCGACCTCTGACCCCCAGTAAGGAGTACACACTGACTGTCCAGGCTGTGGACTCGCAGGGCAGGAGGGGTCCGCACGCCTCTGTGTTCATACTAGCTGGCTTCCGGCCCCCTCAGTTCACCAACACCACCTACACGATCTACATCCCAGAGAGCACTGGGGTGGGCCAAGCGTGAGTACAGGAAGCTGTGTGTTAGTGGCCGTGTTTGTGTGTGTCAACATGTAAAAAGATTCAGAATTTGCTGCTCATTAGAGGGTAAGAGAAGGATTGTGTGAACGTGGCCAACTCCAAAGCTTTATGTGTCATCTGTAGCATGAAACAATTCACCCGGAGGGATAGTGGTGGTTGAAAGAGGGGGGACAGAGTGAATAGAGGAGGTTGTGGCAGAGAGGGGGAACACAGATGCATCATTTTGTCTCCAGGCTCTGAATTTGAAAGCGTGTTCAAATTCAAATATTTATTAAAAGAAACTTCTGGATAAACATGAAGAGCAGTGTCTGAACTTCCCCCTTCGGGCACTGGCACAGAACTGAGCATAATAATCTGCGTGAAGGAGGAGAGGACAGCTAATCATGGAAAGAGACATATTAAAAAGAGAGGAAAAGAGAGACATATTAAAGTTAAAGAGTGTGGAAGGGGGAGATGACATGGGACGCGAGCCTCAAAGAACAACTGAGATATCTCAGACATGCATTATTTCCCATTTTAACTGTAGAGACAGTAGCCCTTTTCTAAAATCTTGTAAGTTGCCTTTCAGCTGCATTCTAAAGCTTTGTTTACACTGGCAGCATTTGTGTGGCAGGAGGTTGCCAGGTCACTGAATTTTGGCTTACTGACAAAACTGGCCGTTGCTTTTGAAAATATTTTGTATTTTGTGAGTTTTCTTGCTGCTAAAAATTAATGGCTAGTTTAAAACGCTTTACATCAGTGCAACATCTGCAGTACTTCTCATGTGAAGCGTATGAGACTTAAATTAAATACATTAGTTTAATGTTAGCATCTTGCTAAGCTAAAAAGTGCACCTTTTTAAAGAAATTCATACTTTTTTTCAGCAAGGATGCATTAAACTGATCAAAAGTGACAGTAAAGACATAAAAATTTTACAAACGATTTCTGTTTTTTTTTACTTCTGTTCATCAAAGAATCCTGAAAAAAAGTATAATGGTTTACACAAACGTATTAACCAGCTCGACTGTTTTTGTGAAATTGATAATAATAGTAATAATACATGTTTTTTTTTTTAGGTCCAAATCAGCATATCAGTATGATTTCCGAATGATCATGTGACACTAAAGACTGGAGTAATGACTGCTGATTCAGAATTCAGTTTTGCCATCACAGGAATAAATTACATTTTAAAATCTATTAAAATAGACAACAGTTATTTTAAACTATAATATTATTTCACAGTATTAAATAACTCTTTTTGAGATTACTTGCAAAAACATTAAAAAATCTTACTAATCCCAGCATTTTAAATGGTATTGTACATAGTACACACAAGTATTGTGTGAAATAGTCCATATTTAATTATGTATTTTTAATACATATTTTTTATATGATTAAATACTGTCTCAGTAGGTAGCTCACAATGTTTTGGAACAGAGCTGTAGTTTCCATCCTCCCATAGGATACATAGTGTATAAATGAAATGCTGGCCTGTGCACTGATTCTATTTCCTTGATGTGTCTGTAGGGTGGAGGTGGTCCAGGCTATCTCTTTCCAGAGGAAGACTCTGTCTTATATGCTGCTGGTGAACCCAAGCAACCTGTTCAGCATAAACCAAGAGAGTGGTGCACTCAGCCTGACACGCACTGTGGACTTTGAGAGTGGACAACATCTCCATCATCTGCAAGTCAGAGTTTCCGAACCAGATACAGGACTGAGCAACATGGCAGAAGTAAGCACATGTTTATCTAAACGGGACCTTCCCTTGATCTTCAACCATTTTTTATGTCCAAATGTACAGTTAGCACAGAAGTACAATATAACATACTTGATTTTTTTGTCGTCTTGTTCTTTTCCCACTTAAACATTGTTTTTACTCACATGCCTAATAAGATAAACCGTCTTAAGCCTGACATTAAGATGCTGTATGTGTGGCTGTCAATCATTCTTCACCTCGAGGCCTTGTAGGTAACCAGATCTGGTTCTTTCAGAGGTAAAAGGTGGATATGCTTTGATACACACAATAACACGCACACATATGCATGAAGGCATACGCAAGCACAAACAAAAGCAAGCACATATCAGCAGAAAAGCACTAATGAGAGATTGTGTGTGGTACTGAGGCCATCAAACACGCCACAGCTGTGGCTGTTACCACTTATGAGACTTAGCGGTGCATGTGTCTTTATGTGTAAGATGAAGTGAAGCGAAAAAGGCAAAGAAATATGACAGATGTTTGATGTATTTTACCCATTGTGTTGTTGTTGCCGTTATTAGAGGCTCAAAAATATATCCATTTGTGTGTGCGTATTGCTCACACTGTTGTTGTTCCATGTTGATCTTCTTTGTTTGGCAGAAGTTCCTCCACAATAATTGAGTCATCTTGATGGACTTGGCTGAGACACAATGATGTGTAACTGTGTCTGCGCCAGCACCGGTCACACACACACTCGCACATTTTAGATAATTGTCAGAGTCACTGCCCCCTGCCAAATGATTACACCATCCGTGAAGACGACTCCATGAGTAGGACAGGCTAGAACAGAGATGAGACGAAACAAAATGAGAGAAGAGGAGAAGATAAGAGACAAGGCCAGAAGAGACTAGACTGGACAAGACTAAATGAACAGAGAAGAGATTAGACAAACAATCCAGACGAGACTAGCAAAGAAAAAGAGATGAGATGAGATGCAACAAGAGAGGAGATCAGTTGAGACAAACCAAACCAAAAGAGACCAGAAAAGATGAAATGAAACCAGATGAAAAGTTATTATAAAGAAATTAGAAGATTATAAGACAATAAGAGACGAAAAAGACAAAGGTGAGACCAGAAGAGAGGAGACAAGAAGAAGAAGATCAAGACAAGAAGATAAGAAAGTTAAATGAGACAAGAGGGATAAGACAAGAAAATGAAATGAGATGAGACGAGAAGAGACTAAATGTGTTGAGATGAGACAGCAGGAAAAGACAAGATGAAAGGACAGGTAATGAGAAGAGATGAAGCTATAGATGAGAACAAAAGAGACTAGAAAAGAAGAAATGGGACAAAATGAGAGTATAAGAGAAGAGATGAGACTAGAAGAGACAAAAAAGAAGAAATTAGATCAAATGAGAAGAGAAGAGATTAAACAAGGCAAGGGGGGAAGAAAAGAGACAAGGTGAAACCAGAAGAGAAGAGGCTAAAAAATTAAATAAGACTAGAAAAATTGAGTCAATGACAATAGGAGAAGAGAAGAGACTAAACAAGGCGAAGATGAGAGGAAATAAGACTAGATGGGATTAGATGAAGAAAAAGAAGAAACAGAGAAGAGAAAATAAGAGATGAGAGGGGAGGAGACTAGAAGAAACAAGAAAAGAAAAAAGGAGCGAAGAATGAGCGTCTGTCCTCGTAGCATGTGAAAAATGATTTCATAAAGCTCTACATTAAGACTCTTCATCTCTTTTAGACCCCCGTTGTTGTTGTTATTAGCAGTGTTTCTCCTCCAGCAGCAGACTTCAGACTCATTACTGCCTTATTCAACTTCCAACAGCTATGAAACAAACACAGAAAATTCTCTTTCATTGGGCAGATTCCTGAGGGACAACTGGAGAGAAAAAGAAACCCATAATGCAGAGCAACATGGGTTTTAAGGCTCTGGTCTGACGGTTTCAGAGCTGTATGGTCAGCTATGGTGCCGTGTGTGTTACGTGTAAGGAACTTCCCTCTTGGCAGTGCTGTTCCTCTGAGATAAGCAGTTCTGCGGGACTCACCCTCACCATGACTAACGCTCCCACTGAGAACACGTACCCTGCTTTCCCTCTGCCTCTGTTCAGTCAAAGTCAAATCCTGGGCCAGTATTCTGTCTCAATGCTCACAAATCGCTGCACCAAGACTAAATGAACAGAGAAGAGATTAGACAAACAATCCAGACGAGACTAGCAAAGAAAAAGAGATGAGATGAGATGCAACAAGAGAGGAGATCAGTTGAGACAAACCAAACCAAAAGAGACCAGAAAAGATGAAATGAAACCAGATGAAAAGTTATTATAAAGAAATTAGAAGATTATAAGACAATAAGAGACGAAAAAGACAAAGGTGAGACCAGAAGAGAGGAGACAAGAAGAAGAAGATCAAGACAAGAAGATAAGAAAGTTAAATGAGACAAGAGGGATAAGACAAGAAAATGAAATGAGATGAGACGAGAAGAGACTAAATGTGTTGAGATGAGACAGCAGGAAAAGACAAGATGAAAGGACAGGTAATGAGAAGAGATGAAGCTATAGATGAGAACAAAAGAGACTAGAAAAGAAGAAATGGGACAAAATGAGAGTATAAGAGAAGAGATGAGACTAGAAGAGACAAAAAAGAAGAAATTAGATCAAATGAGAAGAGAAGAGATTAAACAAGGCAAGGGGGGAAGAAAAGAGACAAGGTGAAACCAGAAGAGAAGAGGCTAAAAAATTAAATAAGACTAGAAAAATTGAGTCAATGACAATAGGAGAAGAGAAGAGACTAAACAAGGCGAAGATGAGAGGAAATAAGACTAGATGGGATTAGATGAAGAAAAAGAAGAAACAGAGAAGAGAAAATAAGAGATGAGAGGGGAGGAGACTAGAAGAAACAAGAAAAGAAAAAAGGAGCGAAGAATGAGCGTCTGTCCTCGTAGCATGTGAAAAATGATTTCATAAAGCTCTACATTAAGACTCTTCATCTCTTTTAGACCCCCGTTGTTGTTGTTATTAGCAGTGTTTCTCCTCCAGCAGCAGACTTCAGACTCATTACTGCCTTATTCAACTTCCAACAGCTATGAAACAAACACAGAAAATTCTCTTTCATTGGGCAGATTCCTGAGGGACAACTGGAGAGAAAAAGAAACCCATAATGCAGAGCAACATGGGTTTTAAGGCTCTGGTCTGACGGTTTCAGAGCTGTATGGTCAGCTATGGTGCCGTGTGTGTTACGTGTAAGGAACTTCCCTCTTGGCAGTGCTGTTCCTCTGAGATAAGCAGTTCTGCGGGACTCACCCTCACCATGACTAACGCTCCCACTGAGAACACGTACCCTGCTTTCCCTCTGCCTCTGTTCAGTCAAAGTCAAATCCTGGGCCAGTATTCTGTCTCAATGCTCACAAATCGCTGCACAGAGAGAAGCCTGAATGTAGATACAGCCCTTCCATAAGCTATCATCTGAGATCTGCTGAGATCTGCTACATTAAAGTCTACACACTGAGTTTGACTGGGGTTTATGTGTGTGTTTGTGGGGTGGTTGAGCCATTTGCATTCAGTGGCTTCTGCCACAGCTGTTCTGTTCTGCTTCAGTCTCTTCTTTTAATGTTATTCCTCTCTCTTATGCCTCCGTTCTTAACCGAAAGCCTCCAGAAAGCCAAGTGACTCAGGACACTAAATTTGTCCATGCTCATGCAGGGTTTTATCCTTGTTTTAAAGATTGCCTTCCATGCAAATATTGAGGTCAGCCATCTTTCTGAAGAAGCTGGTTGACCAAATAACTTTTTCTTCCTTTTTTTTCTTAAATTGTCTGTCATTTACTGAATTTTAACAATAAAATTGAAAAAAATAGAAAGTTTTCAAACCAATCAATCAAGTGATAAATAATAATTGCTTGTAGCTCACTTACTCTCACAATGCTATAAATATTGGCATGTTTGTAATCATTATGCAGCCATAAGAAATTTGCCTTGAAGGTCAGTAAGGAGAGTATGTGCACAGAGGTTGTGATATAAATAATCATTATATATCATTCTGATGAGCTGGTTTGCAAATGTTCTGTTTTAATCTCTCAGCATTGTTCTGTTTGGCATTTTGAATCCAGCATCACAAGAAGTTCTGTGGCAAGAGCTTTTTTAGTGTTCTCATTAATGAAATTTCAGTGAAATTCTACTGGAAATAGCGTAGTAATGCATGAAGCACTGTTCACCCAGAAGTCACTTTCAAACTGTCGGTCAGTACAGCAAATTCATGTGAAAAAAATTAATTCATCCACAAAATTTGGCAGAACAGTGGTAAATGTGTCCACACTTCGTCTCTCTCATCTATATTTATTTGCTGGTCACTTTAAAACTCCAGATTTACTCCCTCTGTCTTCAATTCTAATGCCTCTTAGCATCCTTTATTTATTTGAATGTTCCTAAAGTATGTTGAGGGCATTTAACACAATCAAACAGATACTATTTAAAAAAAATTTTTTTTTTAAATCTGTCAACTTTGTGGAAAACATTTTTATTTGTGCATTAATGTTCTTATAATTCTTTAAAAGACAGAAAAATTTATGGTTAATGCCTCTGCACTTACCCGTCAGTGAAATCTATTACTAGTATTATCTATAACTAGTCATTTTGTTGCTTTAAAGACCTGACTAAAATCTATAGACTATGAAGTGATGAAGCTGTGTGGGTGTTTGAGAGGAGACTTTATTTGGGGACTAACTGTTTATGCTTTAATACTTGTCCACATAATAATGTTTCTTCCTCTGTCTCGTTCTCTTACTTATGCAGGTGGTGGTTCACATCACAGATGAGAATGACTGCACACCAGAATTTATGCACTCCATTTACAGTCGAGACAATGTCCCTGAGACCACCCCTACTGGCACATCCTTACTGCAGGGTGAGTGTCTGTTTCTCGATTTGTCTCTGTGTCCATCTCACTTTCTTTCTCTCTGTCCGTGTTTTTCCCCCGGCAGTCCCACTCTTGAGGCAGGTGCTGTTGCCGCTTGCTCTGCGGGGGTGAATGTCTTTTCAACTCAGTTCTGTAATTATGAAATAATTCATTATGGCAGCGCTTTCTGGGTGGTAAATGGATTGTAATCAAAGCCACCTCGGTGGCTTCCAGGCAGATAAGCTTTTCTGCCCCCGTCTTCCTCTCCTTTCCAATCTCTCTTCCTCCTGACTAGCTCTGTCAAACTAGTAAAACCATCAACGCTCCATGTTGTGTCTTTTCTGACGTTGTAGGCTCTATAACCACAGGTTGGAGACTGTGACCCAGCAATAGAGGTGAGATCTCCACTGTGGCAACGGATGTGGCCAGGTGGGGGGCTACGACCCCCTCCATTTTCTTCAGATAATCATGTCTGATAGTGAAAGGCAGCTCTGAAGAAGAGGCATGCCTGACCTCCTTCTCTAAAATACAAGCATTAATGGGAAGGGACCTGTTTATCTCTCTGTGCCGGCCCCATCTGTGATCTTATCGCTGTAAAAAAAAACATGAACAAGATGTCGTGTTGCATTTCAGAAAGAGGTTTGAGTGCATTAGTTGTTTGAATAAATATTCATAAGCCCTAATTAGTGGTGCTTGCTAAGACAGGCATTACTATTAGTGTTGCTCATAGCTAGTGTTTGGGATTTGAACAAACCTCTAACCCTCATTATTAAAGGGAGAGTTCACCCAAAAATGAACTTACTTTCACATTGTACCAAATCCATAAGACTTTGCTTAATCTTCAAAACACAAATTAATATCTGTTTAATGAAACCTGAGAGGTTTCTGTCTCTCCATTAAAAGTGCAGGTAACCAAAACTTAGAAGATCCTAAAAATGTCCAAAAGTTGAATTGAGCAGTTTAATTCAAGTTTTGCAAAAAAGAGATAATATCGCTTTATATGATAAACAGCTTAGACAAAATTTTATTAGACAGAATTTAAATTTTTGGGTGAACTAACCCTTTATATGTTAGTAACTCAGCCCATACCAGTTTTTCTACAGACCTGAATGATTTTTTGTGAAAAAGAGGTTTGCTGCTTGCAACTAGGTTATATAAAATAAAACTTTACTATTTGTCTAATTAAAAATAAAACACTAAAAACTAAAATCAGTTAAAAGCAAGGAGTATAAATAGGCATAAAATATGACAATATTCAGTTTGATAAATGAATATTAATTTTGAGATTTGCTAAAGTGTTTTATGATGACAAAGACAATCTTAACATCTATTGAATATGTAATGATATATATCTAGTATTGACTGATACTGATAAATTACAAAAATCTCTCATATTGAAGGCTAACCATTATGATACCATATGGAAACATGTTGTGTGTTTCTAGTAAAAATTTCATAGACTTCCACAGAAGGAGGCATATCTACAGACCATAATATCAAAGAGACTTGTGGCTGGACTTCTTTGACAGCCTAGCAACCACATAGCAACATGCTAAAAAACTACAACATAAATATATGTGAAATAAAATAAAAAAAAAAGGCTAAATTTATGCACAAATGTCTTGTTCAGTAAAATTGGACATGATCTGTACCTGTTCGACTATATGTGTGAGTACATGCATGTGTCCTTTTTTTATTAACAATCTCCAATCTAATAGTTATCTTAGTATCAAACAGAAGCTTTGTGCTCAGCAGCCAGGAAATTCTTCTCATCCAGTGCTCATCACAGATCGAAAAGCTCTGCGATGCCCCAGCGCTGCTCACCGTTTTAAAGAGCTCCTCACCTTCTCCGCAGAATTCTCAGTGATGAACTATTCTTAATTAAGACCTGGGGTGGGGAACGTTGATCCTGGAGGGCCATTGTCCTGCAGAGTTTAGCTCCAACCCTGACAAAAAAAAACCTACCTGTATCCTGAAGACCTTGATTAGCTTGCTCAGGTGTGTTTGATTAGGGTTGGAGCTAAACCCTGCAGGGACACAGGCCCTCCAGGATCAACGTTCCCCACCCCTGATTAGACTTTGTTATGCACAAGCCTACGACACTGATCGAAAGAAGCAGAAAAGAGAGAAAAGCAAAGCAACAAGCAACAGAAGTGAGTCAGATCTGGCAGACCGCACGCTTTGTGGGGCAGATGCACAAATTTAGAATGCCAACTGCATTTATGCAATTCAATTATGTTTACATATCGCTGCACCCAGTGAAAACAAGAACTGTTCACCATATGCAAACAGAATGGTTCCTGCCTCTGATTCCAGTTGGCTCTTCTGTTTTAGTGCGGTACGCAAAGCAACTTTCTTTTTCTGTCTCTGTGTCTTCTTTCTCTTCTCGTTTCGTCTCCCTCGCTCTCTTTCTCTCGCTCTCAACATGTAAAAGCAGCAGGTTCACACAAACACCAGCTGGGGATGTTATTTTCTTATCAAATGTGTTCTGTTGTGAGTGGAAAAAGAAAAAAGAAAAACACGGCGCAATCGTTGACTGTGCGAAGCCTGGCAGAAGGGAGAGATTATTATTGTTGTTTACCTTAAAACAGGATTAGACTGTAAATTGGGTGACGGCTTTTAATAGGGCCTAGCAGGAAGAGAAGTGCAGAATGCACTCCAATTATCACACGGAAAACTTCTCAGAGAGGATTTAGCGCATGGCGAAGCAACGCACTTAAAACTCGCCCAACCTTAGTCCACCAGCCTTTCTCTTTCTCTTTCTCTTTCTCGCTCCCAAGCCGCCTAACTGGTATGTTTAATTTAGCCCTGGTCTCTCACTTGCATGCATTAAATATTAGCCCTAAGAGACAGTGTATTAGGACTTGTATTTTTAATTAACCTTCTGTTTGAATCCTGGCCGTATGACTTCACATGCGTTCACGGCTGCTCCGAAACGTGTTTATACTCGTGTGGGGCGCTGACACCCACCCTTACCCACCTGCTTCCAACAGCCGCAACAAGTCCTCAGCTTAACTGCGAGAGAAAGAGGGTTTCTGTTGAACATCGCTACATCTGTGGGCACTAGCTATTTGCCTTGGAGATTAGAGTGCCGTCATGTGGCTGTAGTAAATGAGTATGCTGGCTGACTGGGTGTGATGACAGCTTGCCTGCAGTATAATGATACAGGACCCTGACTTTGGCTGTGTGCCTAATGACAGCAAAGCCTTCTTCCACTTTTACTTTTGATCTGCTTCAGTCAACAGCAGCTTTTCGCCATGCCACTGACAGATGGGCACTTAAATTGATCAAATATAGAATTGGCCTCTGCTACATAGTTTTAATTAATATTGGCTCTATTAATATGACACCGTATACAATTTAAAAAGCACTTAGCACAAGAAGTTCTAACTGCATAAATACTGTATATATGATATTGAGAGTTTTGTATATATACTGTATATATAATTTTATGTATATATACTACCGAAAGTCATTATTTTATTCTAAATTAAGATTTTTTGTTGTTGTTTTTGAACAAAGTGTCTTACCAGTGCTGCATTTATTTGATCAAAAATATAGTAAAAACTGCAATATTGTGAAATATTATTAAAATGTAAAAGAACTGTTAATATATTGTATTTTAAAATATCATTTATTCCTGTTGATTACATTACATGTGACTTTAAAATATATTAATATAGAAAACAGTTTTTTTATTATAATAATATTCCACAGTATGTTTTTCAACCTTGGTGAGCATAACAGGCTTTTGATTCAAAAAACATGTACAAATCTTTTACCCTTTGGTTGTGTCAAATGATTTTATTATTATTTTAGTTGTTTAGTTATATTTCATTTGTCATTATATTTTAACTTCAATATGTATTAAATATATATTTTACTAAATCTAAATGCAAATTTGTCAAATAAATAAATAAATAACCCCCATGCCCCCAATTTTCTTTTTTTTAATGCAAAATGCAATTCCTTATTTTCTTCTTTTGATTTAATTAAACATTAAGTATCTTCTGGCTGAATTTGTCACTTCAAATTACTTGACACTGGAAACATGTACATGCATGGTTAGGACACGGTGTTACACACACACACACACACACACAAACACACACACAAATCCATTCCAGTCCTAATGAGAACACAACTGTCTGAGAAAAGCATAGAGATGATTAAGAACTGTAATTTGTTTTCAGTGCCTGACCCAGAGCACATCTCCACCAAGGTTGCCTTCACCACAATTTACTGCTATGTTATTGCTTGCTGTTGCATTTAGTCAATGTGACATGAAGTTTAACATGGCTCTTTCGTCTCTCTCTCTCTCTTTCTAGTTCTGGCACGGGACTGTGATACGGGCCTGAATGCAGAACTGTCCTACTTCATCCAGAGTGTGGACTTTGACATCTCATCTCAGGGAGTGGTGAGCCCCAGTCAGAGGCTGGACTATGAGAGACCCAACCACATGTATGAGTGCACGGTGGTGGCCGTGGACAAGGGAGCGCCCCCTCGCACAGGCACAGCCTCCATCCGAATCCGCATGGCCAACATCAACGATGAAGCCCCTGTCTTTTCGCAAAATATGTATGGTTCTTTTCTGTCTGTTTTACATTTCCTTTTGATTGCAAAGCTTTCAGGAATATTTGATTCTGATTGGTCAGTCACAACAATCTGCAATCAAATATTTGCATATAATCACTACTTAAACTATATAATTGACCCTTGATCTCTCAAATCACTGCACAGTCTCTTTCTTCTCACATAATAAATTAAACATATATTTATTATTAATTTATTCATATATTAATTAATTAACTAATTAATTTACTTTATTAACATATTAAACTATTTTTAACTTGATATGTATTTTAATTTCATTTAGCTTTACTAGCTTTTCATTTAAAAATTTAAATTATGTTTGCATATAATAAATACAAAACTGTATAATTGACCAATGATCTCTCAAATCACTTTCTTCTCACATAATACATTCAACTCAAACATGTATTATTTATTTAACTTTTGTTTTTAACTTAATATACAGTGGGTACGGAAAGTATTCAGACCCCCTTAAATTTTTCGCTCTTTGTTATATTGCAGCCATTTGCTAAAATCATTTAAGTTAATTTTTTTTCCTCATTAATGTACACACAGCACCCCATATTGACAGAAAAACACAGAATTGTTGACATTTTTGCAGATTTATTAAAAAAGAAAAACTGAAATATCACATGGTCCTAAGTATTCAGGCCCTTTGCTGTGACACTCATATATTTAACTCAGGTGCTGTCCATTTCTTCTGATCAGTAACAGCGTCCAGGCATCCGGTACAAGGCCTTGGGGATGCTGTCTTTAAAAAGAACATCCAAAGCCATTAAAAAAGGAGTTTCCTCTTCCTGTCTGCTCAGCACGCGCTTTTAATCCATCATTCAACTCACGTTTGTGGTATTTGTAGGAAAAGCAAACACCACTTGTATTGTTTTTGGTCTACAGCTCTTGTTTTTTTGTGTGTGTGTGCACTTGTGTGTGAATGCAGTGTTTGTCTGTTTTCATGCCTGCCTGCCTGTGCGCTTTCAGTCTCAAGGTTGCATTTGTTTGCAGTGTTTGCTTTTCGTTTGTTTACCAGCACATTTTATGCCTAAGAGCTGGAAAACAGCAGTATGCTAAAGCTCTCTCCTGTCTTATCAGCCTCTCGGCATGGTTGTTCCACCTCCCAGCCCATTACAGGCCAGCGCAGAGAGATGGCCCATGGCTTCAGCACTCAGAAAAGCTGCGTGGATTTGTCACTTCAAAGATGCAGCAGCACTTTTTTTTGCGCACAACCCCCTACTCAGTTGTTTGGTGAATGTGCAACCATAAGAAGCCCATTTTGCCATGTTGTTAAGCATGATGCACAAAGGCGGTTGTCATTCTTTTCAGATATTAATGTTTTCATTTTGAGAGGTTGTCACCTTGGGTAAAAAAGCGCTTGTATTCATAAACAGTTTTGACAGTGACACTTTTGGTTGTACACCCTTGTGAAAAACAAAGTACACTTTTGCAAACTTTAAAAAACAAAGAGTACTTATTATGGAAATAATACCCTTTAATAGAATATACTGTGTGTGTATGAGTGTGAACTGAATGTAATGTTTTTGGGCACTCAATTTTTACTTCATTTTAGTTAAATTAAAATGTACAGTTTTATTATTTACTTTTATATTAAATGAAGTTGCTGAACTTTAGAAATCTTTTTTTGTACTGCTGAATGCTCTGACCAGATTTAATGATCAACTAAAATATCCTTTACTGTCATTTCTAATGATATTTGTAATAACGTACTTCTGATGATTAAGTTGCTATTTAGCCAATTTGAAATGTTAACTTTAACTTCAATTTTGATATTGAAACACTACAGTTAAAATTATAATCAAGTACCTTACATGTGCTTTAGTATGTTAGTAAGTGTACTTTAAAATATGACGAAAGATGATTAAATCAATGATTTAAAATGTACTTAGAAATAAAGCTTTAAAGTTCATCTTTTATTATTATATAGTGCACTTTTTAAAAGTGTACTTTAGTGTGTTAAGAAACAGTCATAAAAGTATAATCTCTTTAACTGGTCTTTTATTTAATTATTGTTATATTATCTGCAAATACCATTTAAAAAATATATAATTTTATTATATAAGTGCAGATTCAATACAATTAAGCGCACTTGTCTTTCACAAGGGCAGTGAGATGAGCTAAAGCATTTTATTGAATTATTTACAGGCATCATCAAACTGCGGCGTAGTCCTCCTCCTAAACTGCGCGGGCCTCAGTATGTCCTCAATGTCACGGCGACTGATGACAACGCAGCCAGTGGGCCACTCCCCCTTAGCAGCTCATCCCAGGTCATCGTTGGCATCAATGACATCAACAACAACAAGCCAGTATTTGATGAGGTGAGGTTAAAAAAGATCTTAAACCTGTGTGTCAAAATCCATTTCTAGTGAATGATGTAGAAGTTGAAAGACCGAATCGGCGGACAGAGAAGAAACATAACCAAAAATGTGTACAGTAGAAGAGCCTGACTCGATAGGTCTAGATATGAGTAGAGAATTAAAAAATATTGTCTCATTAAATCTGCCTAGCATGAAGTGCCTCAGGCTTTTAATACCAATGACACTGTGAGCACTTCACTAATGGCAGTGTTTAGAGACAGAGATGACGTCTGAGGGGACAGAAAGTAAAGAATAATGGGTAGGAGCTAATATACAGAAATAAAAGAGCAGAAGACATACTGTAAGATAAAGGATAAACAATGAATTGCATCTACTGATGACATGCACAGTCTCATTTTATATCCCATTTCACAAAAAAACTGAATCATCGCTGAACGCAATTTCTATGACACAACTCTCAGTTTTTAGGGTTGTTTTTGAATGTTAGATTGTGAAGGATGCAGCAGACTGCCATGAACTTACATACTTTACTCAGACTGTGAACCAGACACCTGAACTGGCTCTTTAAGACGTTGAGAATATGTTTGACTACATTGCGCATCTGGCTAAAAAGCTATTTCATGAATTCCCCACAAAATGAGCAAGTAAAAGAGAGCAAATATTAAAGAACATGTGCAAAATGAAACACAGTGAGAAAGAGACAGGTGAAGGGAAGAGCAGACATCTGGCAGAAGGAGATCTAAAGGCTCTTGGAGGTCTCCGGTGGAAGAGCTTTTCTCTGCAGGCCGGTGGTGCAGGAGGGCTGTGTGTGAGTGTGTTGGAGGCAGAATCGTGTCCCTGTACACTCTCCGTGAGCCCCACAGGCCCTACTTCTTCTGCCGCCGCCGCCGCCACCTCCTCTGCTGCTGCCCATGAATATTTCAAGGGGGAATTACTCACCGGCACAGGGGATGCATATGAAATAGAAGCACTAAGTGAGCCCCAGGGGCAACATCTGGCCCTGTTTCTTCTTCTCACTCTCTATGCCTGCCCTGCTGACCAGAGTCTTTCCCTTCTGTATCACTGGTTCTCGACTAGTTTCAAGACTCTTCGTTTTGCATCAGGCAGTGATTCAATGCAGTACCAAACTTGTTATTAGAAGAAATTGTTGAATAAAATCGTTATTTTTGTTTTCTTTGCACACAAAAAGTATTCTCATAGCTTTGTAACATTACGGTTGAACGACTGATGTTACATGGACTATTTTATCGATGTCCTTACTACCTTTGGCAATTGTCTCAAGTTTATATCTGGCAATTCTGAGAAGAAAAGTCAGAACTGTAAGATATAAACACAGAATCACAAGAAAAAAGTCAGAATTGTGAGATAAAAATTTGCAATTACCTTTTTTTATTTGTATGGTTCAAAAAAAAAAAAAAAAATTATGAGATGTAAACTAGTCTAAGAAAGTCTAAGAAAAAAAATTGCAAAAAAGAAAGTCAGAATTCTGAGTTTATATCTTGCTATTCTAAGTTTATGTCTCATAATTTCTCAGAAAAAACAAGTCTAAATTTCTTAAATAAAAAGCCACAATTACCTTTTTTATTTCTTTATTCCGTAGGTGAAACAGGCTTCCACAGAAACATAATGAAAATTGTCACAATGCAAAAAATATTAATGGTCTTTCATTTTCATTTTAAGATATAATTTCTTTTGATTTTGAAGTGCAATATGACCAATATGACATGTTCTTGATAGCTTGTGAGGTTCACACTGCCTCATCTTGGCCACACATGCTTTTCGACGTTCAGCCGAATGCAAACCCTCACCCTGCTTTGCAGTTGCTGGTTGCCGGCACTCCTAATAGCACCGCAGATTATGGCAATAGACTATCTGTTCGAGTCTTTTCCCTTGCTAAACTGAGAAATCCTCCCTAAGCCCTCTCAGAAGGGTGAGTATGTGAGTGTGTGAGTGGTGTGTGTGTGTGTGTGTGTCGAAAGACAATGAGAGGTGTGAAGTGCAAAGCGCAGTAAGAATTCTCTTCAGAGACTAGGAGGGAGGCTAATTCCAGCTTTTAGCCCTGGTATCGATCTAGTCACTTGATTAATCACCTTAAGTTGACATGCCACTCCCTTGTGTGCACCGCTCACCAGATGCCCGCTCTGTAATGAGAGCATGATGAGAAAGCAAGAGGAGGAGGAGGAAGAGGGAGGTTGAGGCCTCATTATGAGTGTGTGTGCTCCTATTATGAACCTCAAAAGAGGAATTTATAAACACTTTATCCTAAATACAAACTTCATTCTCTCTGTCGTCATGTCTTGGTGTCCTGTTCCCGCTTTTCTTGCTCTTTATCTATTATTATGAGAAATCATATGTCCAGCATTAATCTAGTACGATTTAGTTTTGTTTGAGATCTTGATATTGGACTTTGCCAAGGAATTTGCAAATAACGTATTTCTGGTATTTCTTGTATTTCTTGTATTATTATCCATGTCTGAAACTCTGGTTCCTTTAAAGTGTCATAACTACAGTGTGAATGCACTGGTCCTGGAGAATCAGCCCCCGGGGACTTTTGTTCTGCGCATGCAGGCTCACGACGCCGACACTGGGGTCAACGGGGAGGTCAAGTACGGGATAATGCAGAGGGACGGGGCCTCACCCGGGTTCACTATCAACCCTGACACAGGTATTTCCTTCCTTCTTTACCAGATCATTGATTACACGCAATTGAGCCTTAGCTGACATGTGTTTCTAGTCAATGGGCCTCATTCTTTAAACATAAGTAGAATGCATTTCTTTATTCTTGGACACCATTAAGATGTATGTAACACAAACAATTATTTATATTTAATTTTTAAATATTATTCAGATTTAATATTATTTATGTTTAATAAAATAGAAATTTTAGAAAAGATATATATACTGTATATGTATATATATATATATATATATATATATATATATATGTGAAATTTCTTTTTTTAATTGTTAATTTCTCTCTTAAATTCTTAATTGTTCAGATGCGAAACAGAGTGACTTGGTATCCTAATGTGTGCAAAAAAAAAAAGTTTATGAATTCATGCCATTTAGTTGCATTAAACTTGTGAAATCTATAAAAAAGCAATTCACCAATGAGTTGCATCTATGTGCATTGTATGTGTTGTGCAGGTTTGATCAGTACGGCGGTAAGTTTTGATCGAGAGAGGCAGCGAGAGTATACACTCTCGGTCACGGCTACGGATCAAGCACAGGAGCCCCTCATCGGCATCTGTCAGATCACTGTCCTCATCGCTGACCAGAACGACAATGACCCCAAGTTTGAGAACAGCCGCTACCAATGTAAGAACCACTGAACAACTCTTATTGAAGACCTGGCGCCGATGATAGCTACAGTGTACAAGGCAGCACACTTTTCTTATGTAAATCCTAAAGTAAATGCTTTTTCTACAGAGACACTTTTTAAATTTGTTACATAGTGATACTATGAAATGAAATCTTCCAAATGGTCTTCTGTAGTGATAGGATCTGTTGGCTGTACTTAAGATATGTTCCTCTGCTTGTTTGCATATATAAAGGAGAGCAAGAAGGCATTCATGACATAGTCCCAACTCAGGTTGTAGCTGTAGACTCTTTAAACATTTATACATGGACCTTTAACATTGCACTTAAGGGCAGTAAGGATTTTGCAAACTTAACAAATTCACAAGTCCAAGATTCCTGGGTGTAGCCAATACACATTAAACCTCAATATTAAAAATACATAACAGTCTGAGCAAGGTGAGCTTTAATGCGCTGAACACAGCATAAACACGTCACTAATCATTTTTAGATGCAATCGTTTGCAATCCTGGAAAGCTCGCTTAGCCTAGGAGTGTGAGAAATATGCTGTGCTCTTCTAAGTGATTTTATTTATAATTGCAAATATAAGTTCAGTAAGTTTGATGTCAGAATTCCCTTTCATCACATTTAAAGCAGTACTGAGAATGCTCATTAACTATTAAAGGGAAAGATTGAAACATTTCTGGGACACGCATTCTTTTTTTCCCCCCTTTTCCCTGCACATGGATTTTTAATAGCAGCAGGCATTGCTTGTATTTAGACTGTTGTTATTTGTTTTTGTTGATGCCTGTGTTAACCCTAACTGTGCCAGACTTTCTGCGAGAGGACACACCAGTTGGGATGAGCTTCCTGAGGGCGGCGGCTCATGATGACGACCAGGGCTCCAATGCGGCCATCACCTACTCTCTGTCCCAGCAGAGCCCAGCTTACTTTCATATCAACCCCAGCACAGGATGGATCTACGTCAACCACCCTATCTCACAGGTACACAAACACACACCTTTACCAAGCTTTTAAAATGGGAACATGCAATAGACTTCTGTTGTTATTAAAAAAAAAGCTAATTATTACTAAGCAAAATCAATTTCTGTTGGGTAGACCCTTTGAGCACCTGAGCAGAAATATACCTATGTATAATGAAATATATATTTATGTATATGTGTGTGTGTTTGTGTGTGTGTGATTAAATAAATATAATTTATAATAAATACAGTTGCTGGGGCCATCCATTATATTCGTATAAAATATTACAATATATTTATATGTGATATATTAATATTAAGGATTTATAATATTATTGCTTTACTTGTTTTTGTTAAGTTAATTTGCTCTATTTTATTTTTTATCTTTGAGGACGTATCCAAATTTTTGTCAGATTTAGTTAACCTTTGTTTTGTCCCTACAAGTATAGAGTAAACACATGCACTTGTGTGAACAAACATGTTTAAAGATCACATGCACACATTCCTGCTGAAAATACTGCTTATTGTAGTACAGGTACTTTGTCTTGCATGTGTGTGTTTTATAGAAAACACATTCTCATCCTCCATAGTCAGTTTTGCATATTAATGCATATTATATAGATGCTATATATATCCATACAAACCTTAAGTCTGGAGGGACTGCGTTCTGTTATAATAGGCATAACAATATGTATGATTTCCTTTATTCAGGTTGGAGAGTGATCTTGCCTACTGATTTTTTCATTAAACATAATTTTTTTTCCTTTCCGTTTTTCTTTTCACCTTTTTATTCAACTAATAAACCGTTTTTCTTTTCATTATATGAAAACGTATTACCATGACTTCACCTTTGTGTAACTTTTGACTGAGAGCCAGACTTTCAATACTAGACTATAAAAATCAATCATAAAAATATGAAACAATAATGTCGATAAAGAGTGAAAAACACAAACCATTTTAATATTTATTCTATTTATTTAACTATTTTTTTTTAAATGTGACTTATGGCAGCACATAAACCATTTTAATATTTATTCTATTTATTTAACTATTTTTTTTTAAATGTGACTTATGGCATCATTTCCAACATGGCCAACAATTTTTCCCCTAATAAATACTAATTTACAAATTAAACTAGCGAGAGTGTAACATTTGTTTTAAGAATTTATTTTGTAAGTCTATAAGGCCAAAAGTTTCCATAGTTGAAGAAGCATCCATTTTTGTGTATGTGTGTGTTTGGTCTGAGCAGAAATGCCACCGTCTTCACTTTTCTGCCCACAAATGGCTGTCTGTCTCATTTCTTTGCTGGATATTTAAGCTTTGAGAAGTCGGTGGTTGATTTGACATTAAAACGCTATCTGTGCATACAGAGGCACAGACAGAAAGACAGGCTGTGTTCTTGTGAAATATCCTGCATCCTGTTTATAGAGTCATAAATGATGGCAGTCTTCAGGTAAAGCATCAGATGCTAGACTTTATTAATGCACGTTTCATGTCCAGTACTACACTGCTTTTAACATGCTTTCATCGCTCTTAACAGAAATGGACGTGGATGCAATTTCCTCAGAGCAGGTCATTAAGACGTGTATACTGCAAGTCTGCCCCATGTTTTTCATTAGCCAGTCTGACCGCCTTGCATCACTTATGTCCGAGTAGATCAGTTTTAGAAAGGCAGGAAATGTCACCCACACTAAACTCACCTGTCTTCATTAGTAGGAGTCATTTGAAGGAATCATTAAAGTAAAAAAAAAAAAAACATCTAGAATCTTAGCTACTGTACATGATATTCTGTATGTGAAACATCCAATGGATAATGGAGACCAATTCTTCAGGTGGAAGTATCAGGGATTTCTCTCCTCTTTGAACCTCCATTGACAGAAAAAACTTCACCTGTCATCACCGGTATCAGTGACAACTTGTATTATTACAGTGTATGCTGATAAGCCCCTAGACTGGATTATATCACCTGTCTCTTGTCCTGACAGACATCACGGATCAGCCAGCAGATCATCGCTACAGACGGAGGGAGTCGGAGCAGCTCAGTCGACCTCACTGTCATCATCACCAATGTGCACAACCAGCCCCCGCAGTGGGAACAGGCAAAATATTGGGTCACGATCCCGGAGAACACACCGCGCGACACCAAAATAGAGGTGAGACATTCATATTCCACCACAGTTTCCTCTCTGCTTTCTATAAGAGTATGAAATATTCCAAACACGAAGTACAACCACTACATTTCATAATAAACAAAATGTAACACAAAAGCATGGCAGATTGTGCAGCTGTTCCTAACGGTTACAATAATATGTAATTATATACTCTACCATTCAAAAGTTTGGGGTTGATAAGGTTTTTCATATAATTTTTTTAATGTAATTTCATCCTGTGATGCCAAAGCTGAATTTTCAGCACCTTTTCGGTGTTACATAGCCATTTTTATGGTTCTTTGATGAACAGAAAGTTCAAAAGAACAGCCTTCATGTAATCTTTTGTAACATTGTTAGTGTCTTTATTGTACATTTTGATCAATTTAATATATATGTATGTGCACACACACACACACGTTTGTGTATGTTCTTTTTTTGCCCTTTTGACAAGTAATATGTGACATGCTCTACATAGCATAGTGCACTGTGCACAAGATACTTGACTCACTATTGATTTAATTACAGGTGAAGCAAGACAAATGACATAAGCATAAATATACAATATACACAGTGCACACAAAAATTTGGTCTGTTCTTTTTATTACATATTTTTCAATATTTCTCAGTATTCAACGAATTATACATATACTGTATATTGTAATCATAATCTTTCTCACTTTGTCTGCCTTTTTGGGTTCATTTTCACTAAGCTTGTCTTAGTTGATTCTGGTACGCTTGTCTTAGTTGATTGCCTTCTCTGACTTCTCAAAAAATATTTTTATTAAGATACCTGCTTTTTGTAACAGCCTTTGCATCAGTTCACTGGTTTTTGGAAAAGAGAAGAGGTTTTCACTCACAACGCTTCTTGCTTTGTTGTGCAGTTGATAAGCAAAGGTAGTGTTGTGACTTTCTTGCCGCTGAGGCTTGTCACATCTTATCCAGCCTTCATCTTGTTTGCTATTTCAGCCCGTTTCATTCGCTGTCACATTTTACATTCGTCTTGGAGCTTGTACCCAGAGAGAGATCAGCATCCACAAACAACCTCATTTGTCCAGCAAACTCAAGCAGACTGCTTGTCTGAACATTCTATTCTAATTCATTCAAAAGGGGCGAAAAGGCCAGTCCTCTGAGTCCGTTTTCCTCACATACAGCAGATTATCAGTGAAGAGTGCCAAGAGGAGTTCTGCTGGAGTCACTGTGTTTCCCTGACATCAGCGGCTTCCTCTGGCTGCTGCCAGCTATTCTGCAATCTGTATGAACCTCCGCATCTGTCTTAGCAGTCCTCAGTGGCACAAGCTATGGCAGGGATGTTCTCCTCTTCACCACAGGATGTAAAATAGGCTTAGGTGGGATGTTTGATCTTAAAATACCTTCTTTCCCCACTGGCCTGTAAAGGGTGGTTGCATCGGCATGGGTTTTAGTGCATGGACTGCTTTGCTAGTCATTTTTACTAACCTGTTTTTAAAGAGCTTCAGGGTTTACACTTAATGGGAAGTACATAGACACACTAGATAGAAGTTCTGTTCCAAAACATACTTTGCCTACGTAGACAGCATTTTAAACAACACTTCCACATGAAGGCTCTTTCAAAAGGTAAGCAGCAACAGTATGTTGGCTTATAAGATAGCTTGTTGTCCAAACTCTAAAGCAATATCTCATGCATCATTTGTGGATGAGGCAATTCCAGCACTGCGACAAACTTAATGAAAAAATATATATCCAAGGTGGTCGGTGAAGTCAAGACAAATGTTGATAATATTTTTTAATAAAACAAAGGTTGAATAATGATGTTTATTTAGACACATGCTAGACACTCTTTACTGATTTACTGTCTTTGCATTGGAAGGCAGCTATGTAGTCAGCGCATTCTGTTTTGGAACAGAGATTTACTGTACATACATCCACAATCTACTTGAATCCTTTGATGTTACATATTCATGGCGATGAAGAACAGGAAAAAAAGCTAAAACAGCATGTAGTAGTTTCTAATTGGTCGGGACTTTACTAGCAGCGTGAAGCTCAGTTAACTGCATCCATCTCCTGACAGCCCACCCTCCTCTGGGGGCTTCTGTTAGCATCCCTGTCAAAGAAAATTAATATTGTCCTAATGTACTGTTCCACACACCGCTTGTTACATATTTTAATACAAATGTTTTTTTTACCTCTCTAATCACCTTCTATTAGGGGTGTAACGGTACACGTATTCGTACCGAACCGTTTCGGTACGGGTCTTTCGGTTCGGTACACATGTAAACCGAACGAATACAGTTTTTTTTTTTTCTCCGGAAATTCAAATAATAAATGGCGTTTTGACAGTCTTTGATGTGGCATGACAGATCGCTGTATAAACACCTTGGAGAGCCGCTTCTGGGACGGTTCAGAAACGTGCTGGTATATAATCCCAACACAAGCATTGACTAGAGCGGACGCGATCAGCTCCGGTTCCCGTGTCTGAGCCGTGACGCCCCGCAGATTTGTGCAGAGCGGAGCGCGAGTGAACGCGGTCATTCCTTCCTCTGTAGTCTGTACTACTAGTTTTAACGCGAATAAACATGACTGAACATCTCATGCCTCATGTAATTGCTCAATCAGTGTTTCAACCGCGGAAAGACATCAACAATACAGCGTGGAAATAAAATGTCACGTAGCATTTAATTTACCTCAGCAAGTCATCAGTGTCCACAGCTCGTTTGAAGTCTAGAGAGGAGCATTTTGCGAAATATTACACCATATACTCATTATATTTTACTAAACCTGTTAGTCTTAATTATTTAATGTACAGTATGTTTAAATTAATCTGTTATGAAACATGCTATGACAGCCATTGTGTAATTGAATATATTTTAACAAATAGCTTAGAAATTTTATTATTTATAAATGAATTTAAAAACTGCATTATGTGCAGTTTACATGTTTGCATACAATTATTTTTATTTTTTTTTTTTAAAGTTGAGTGTTGATCATCTATTTAAAAATAAATAGTAATTAAATTTAAGTTTAGGTTAAGTTGCTAGGCCTAATTGTAACCTTATAATGTAAAAGGGCTCCCTATAGTTTTAAGCATAAGCTGAGGTAGATTTTTATCACTAAGAACATTTAAACTATAACTGAATGTATTTAAAGAAAGAGCAACTTGTTCAGTAAACCATTTAAAAAAAAAAAGTTTTCCCCCCTGCTGTACCGAAATTACACCGAACCGTGACGTTAAAACCGAGGTACGCACCGAACCGTCATATTTGTGTACCGTTACACCCCTACCTTCTATAGAACTCGCTTCACTCAATTATTTATATTACTTAACTTTCTCACTTATACTAATAGCATTCTAACCTACACTACTTTCATATTTATACTTTGCTCTGAACTAAATGTTCTCAACTCTTAGTACAGACTCTTACTCTCACAGATGTTGAATATATATATGAATATATGTAATTTAAATTTATGTATATATGTATGTATTTCTACAATCTGATCCTCTGCAGAGCATGAATTCTGTTATTAGCAGGGTATTAGTAGTGCAAGTAAAACTGTCACTTTCTAGGGCACAATATTCAGTGTGACCGCATTGAAGCATATTTTATGATGGGCACTGAAAAAGCGCCACCGCAAGGCATCTCTGATCAGCTTTTTCTTTCTGATGCCATTGCTGTGTAATGAGATGATTTCTAATTATTGCAAATTTCATGGCACCTCAGGCTGTGCTCATTTTACTGGGAGTGCCATTACCCATCTTATCATCCAGATGCGTTTTTTTGAACAGCTCTCTGCACCGGATCTCACCAGCTGATCTATTTCAGTCTTTTTAAGTGGTTATTTTTGATTTTGTAAACAGATTTTCTTTGTGTAATACAGGACATGAGACCACAGCTCTCAGGATGTGCTTTGTTCTGCCATCACTCCATTTATGGTCTTGCTTGTACCTGTTGCCAATTCAGGGCCAAGAGTTTCTCATTGTGTTAGATTTATTTGGTCTAGTATATGAGTGTTTAGTGTTAGTGTAAAAGACTACTCTAGGGGGAAAAAGTCACTAGTGTATGTTTTGGATGCTGTATTTTGGGGTTCATGCAGGAATATTTCAACTGGAACATATTTGACACATTTGTGCATAGTTACTGAATATTTATGTAAAAGCTTTTATTTTATTTTATTTTATTTTAAAAGCTTAAAAATGTCCTGTTTATTTTTGAATGAACAGTTCCTTTTAATTAATATAACCAGAAAGATTTCCTTGCTCAACCAGTTTCACCATCCTGAATGACTAGCTGAAATTGAGAGGCACAAAATCACTTTTCCAGAACCTTCTCATTCACTGTTCCTTGCTGATAGAATGATCTTCTTAACACTATATGGACAGCCAAGCCCCTAACGTTATTTAAGAACCTCTTGAATTAGTATTTAACTGCATCTTGCTAACTCTTTTAAAAAAAGAAAGAAATCTTCTATGCTTTCATAAATCCCTCTCTGTTCAAGCTTGTGCTATTCTAGATGATGTTTGAAACTTCGTATTGTTAGCACTTCTTGTTTTATTGCCTCCTTAAGGTGAATCAACAAGCTAGACCAGTACCAAAACAGCACTAGCTAGCCTAATCAGCCATAACTAGTGTGAAAAATTTAGCTGTATTAGACAAGCTGTACTGTTTATCCTCTCCAAGATATCTGTAGTTAGGTTTCTGCATGTCTGGGTGTGTGTGTGTTAGCATTAAGTTCGCCACAGTGTGTATATGAAAGTGATGGTCCTGGGGGCAATGTGTCAGAGCAGATCTGTGACTCCCTGCCCACTCTAATAGCTCTGCTAATGGAGGATGTACCTGGAGGTCACCTTCAGTGTCTCTTCAGTCAGAAAACAAGATAAGTGTTGTTCCTCAGAGGTTTTTATCACTTTCCTTCCTGCTCTCTGTTGAGTGTCAATATCTTTTCATATTCAACCACTCTTTTATTTTAACTACTTCGTCATCCTCTCCACACTTCTTTTAGTTGGATGGAATGATTATAATTGCAGTCGAGGGGTTTCAAAACACAGGTTGCACAAGTATTCAGATGCAATCACTGCCTTTGTTAATGGAACGCACCTTGTCAATTGGACAAATAACCTCATTTTCTTTATCCTTCCTTTCGACACCGACCACACCGACACCCAGAACTCTTAACACCGATGTTCTCTGTAATATGACTTGAAAAACAAAGCGCTTTACAACAATTACAGTCGATCTCTCCAAATACAGTATGAACTCCCTAATGTGAAATAACTGTAGCAACTGGCTGTTCAAATCTGTTCTGTGCATTGGGAGCCTTCATGCTAATTCATCCTCAGAACTCTAAATACAAATTAGACTTGTTAAACAGTATAATGCATTCATTAGCAACACTGAGTAGCCTTGTTGTGTGTCGAGTGCTCCTATTCATTTCTCACTCTCACTTCCTCCCCCCTCACCTTTCTTCTTCATCTATCTATCTGTCTCTCTGTCTAACTAATTAAAAATTTAAATATCAGTCAGCTCATTGTGGTATTATCTCAAGGAATGCTAATTAACACATTTTCAAAAGCAGTAATTGCAACCTTGAGGATGTAATTTAAAGAGCCTTGTTTGTGTGTATGGATAATGAGAACGCCGTTCTCATCAAGCCTGAGAGACGTCCGCTAATAAACTCTTGGAGGGAAGATTAGACAGGTTGGGATTTGAAAGTTGACCAGATTTCTGTTGAATAGGGGAACTTTTGGATGTATGAATAGTTTAACCCCACGGATGGTTAACCAATCGAATGGTGTGGTGGACTGGTAAATGAAAGGCTGTAGGTTCAAATTCCACAACGGTTGATCTGTGAAATATCACCATTGTACTCTTGATCAAAACACTTAACCTTGGGTTACTCCAGATGGACTGTCCCTGTAGAAACGGCACTGTAAGTCACTTTGGATGAAATGTCAACTACATGATGAATTAGTTGAAATGAAGGTTTTAAAGTGAAGGCAAGATGTCCCAATAGGCAGGAGTGCCAGCTTAGGTAACTTCTGAGAGATTTTTTATGTCACTTAGCACTAAAACATGCTGTTTTGAGGTGTGTTGAGAGTGTGTAAGTGACCGTTTCAGACTTCACGAGTTCTTTGTATGAATGCCATTTTACACTATTTTGTCTATTAATTTTGAAAGCATAAGAAAAAAAAAAACTTTTTGTTTTCATCAAGAAAAAAAGTCTTTAGTACTTTTTTTATTTATTTACTCATTTATGTATTACTTTTGTGACATTATTTCATGCACTTTTAACCCCTCACATTTAAATTTACATATTAAATTGAAATTTATCTACTAATTACTTTAATGATAATTTGGGTGGGAAATTTTCAACCCAAATTCATTAAAATTAATGTATTTATTTAAATATATATTTTATAATTAAATGTTTCATAGAATGTTGGGGGCCCTGAAAATCATCATGAAATTTACTTCAAAATTGATAGGTCAGAGGTCTGCATCAGTATTGAGACACAGTGGAACTGTCAGAGTAGCATAGGTCAGGGAGGTTATTGGAGCTCTGTCAAAGTGACTGTGGCAAATAAGTTCACTGAATAGGCCATTTCTGTTGGGGGACACATACCGGATGGCAATGCCGACCCTTAAAAGCAGGAAGCAAAAGCCACAGAGCTTTTAAGGTGCTTGTTTTCTGTGTTGCAGTGGGCGGATGCTCTCAAAACCATGACCAGGGTTGATTTAATGCCGGACTGGACCCATGTTCTCGGACACAGAGTTCTCCCTCTATAACTCGTCATTGCCATCTCTCTCCATGCACTTTTATTTTGCTCTACCTTTTCACCCCTTTTCTCTGTCGTCGAAGTTTTATAACCTGTGTTGTACGCCAAACATTCATTACACTGGATGACCGTACATGGTTCAGGACTTTATCTTTGACTTTTGACAGTTGGCTTTGCTGTGCCGTTGGCTGTATTGTCATTGGAATGTTTTGTTTGCTTTACAGTGTCATTTGGTTGATGGAGTTTTGGGTTAAATGTGTTTTAGTCAGCTAAAAGACTTTGTGAATTCTCAACACAGACATGTTCCAGCTGTAATATTGGATTTTCCAAGCCAAAATTGGCTCCATGTCTTGTATCCAAGTACTATGCACATGTTTTTGGCTGAACACCGAATAAACAATGACTTTGGCTTTCAGGTTGTGGCATTTCACTTCAAAAGTTGCACAGCCAAGGTATGAGAACAATAGAAAGTGTCCATTTATTCAGGTTAACAGACAAGAAGTAGTTAAGTGTTACATTTTTTTAATCATAAAACATAAGCGCTGATGTTCATCACTGGTATAATCACTGTTATTTTGCAGTTAATATAGTATATTAGGATCTGGAATAAATTATAGCTTTGATTTATTCAAAAAATCTCTGATTATGAGCCAGAGAAATACTGCTCTGATTACATTATAAGTAGTATACTAATTATGGTTATAAAATACATTGCTTACTCCTTAAGTAACTTTATGTTTTGTTAGTATAACGCAGCTCTGTGAGGCTGAAGTCTGGAAACTACTACTGCAGAAAGTTACTCTATAACTGTCAATATCAGTTCAATAAGCAATTGGATGGATTACAGATGAACCATGTCTAATGTATTCACACGCTGCAGTCAGCAGATGCTTGACCGGCGGTTCTGCTGATTTCAGATGCCTTTTCACAAATAATGCTAATTATCCTGTTTGAGCTTTGGGAGAAGGTACTCTAATATGTGTTTCATAATGAGAAATTCTTATAAAATATTATAGCACATCCAAGCAGTTTTTACCCAATTACACACACAAACCCATATGCACATCAAAAGGTTTTAGATGTAACAGGAACCTTCACATCACTACTGACACATCTTCCCTATTCATGACATAATATTTCACCTTTATCTTCCCCCCAAGGCGACGTCCCCTCTTGGTGACCCCAGGGTGACTTACAACCTGGAGGAGGGTCAGGTTCCTGAGACCAACATGCCCGTGCGCTTCTACATCAAGCCTAACCGGAGGGACGGTTCTGCCTCTATCCTGGTGGCAGAGAATCTGGACTATGAGACCACGCGTTTCTTTACGCTCCGAGTGCGTGTACAGAATGTGGCGGCTGTACCACTAGCTTCCTTCACCACTGTCTATGTCAACATCACAGGTGAGAGATACTTTACTATTCTGTAAATTACATCAGAATTATATGTAAACGTAAATATAAGTACCACAAATTTGGGGTAATTTTATTTATATATATATATATATACACACACACACATACAGTGACCATGGACCACATATTTACATGTATATACATTTATATTCTTATATTTTATATAATTTGGGGTAATTTTATTTATATATATATATATATACACACACATACAGTATGTGACCATGGACCACAAAACCAGTCATAAGTGTCAATTTTTCGCAATTGAGATTTATACATCATCTGAAAGCTGAATAAATAAGTTTTCCATTGATGTATGATTTGCTATGACAGGACAATATTTGGTCAAGATACAACTATTTGAAAATGTGCTTTTGGATTTGTCCAAATGAAGTCCATAGCAATGCATATTACCAATCAAAAATTAAGTTTTAATATATTTATGGTAGGGAATTTACAAAATATCTTCATGGAACATGGTATTTACTTATTATCCTAATCATTTTTGGCATAAAAGAAAAATCAATAATTTTGACCCATACAGTGTATTTTTGTCTATTGCTACAAATATACCCGTGCAACTTAAGATCCAGGTCCGGGGTCACGTATATAATTTATTAATTGTACATTTTAACAATAGATGCACTTTTAGTATTCTTTGATGAATAGAAAGTTCAAAAGAACGGCATTTTCTGGAATGTAAATCTTTTGTAAAATTATCAATGTATTACAATGGTCCCATATCTAAAAATCATGGTAACATCATGGTACTTCATACTTAGTGTAAGACAAAGAGAAAGAAATAGAACAAAAAATTTAAAAATCTGACACAATGATAATAGTCCATGTTGACACCTCTCACTAGCGCGCTACAAATATGCCTCGACAACCGGTTCTACACTGCCTGTGTGCCCTCAGAGAAGTAAACACATTTGTGGTAGTTTAGCAATCAGCATTTCATGCCAGCGCGGTTTCTCAGAAGCACAGCAGTGTCTGATCTGATCCACTGATTGTGTTTGAGCCGCTGATGCTAATGTTTTTTTTCCCCCTTTCTTCATAGCTCATTTAGCCTGCGTTGTGCATTTATACACAAAAGTGTTCTCTGCTGTCTTTGAGTGTATGTGGAAATCCACAGCGCTGATGAGTGCATGACAGGCGGATGGTGGGGGCGTAGAGCGACGGTGTGTGTGTGTAATAGGAACAGTGAAGAGCTTTGGCACCGACACACAACACTTGAGACCACATCGGCATTAATTAAGAGGAAAATGGAGATTGAAATAGAGGGAAAAGGAGACAAAAAGCCCACGGAAAAACTAGTTTAGAGGGGCTGCAATCTACAAAGAGCAGAGAATCCAGACAATAAACCTGCATTAAGGGGAAGTCGTGGCCTAATGGTTAGAGAGTTGGACTCATAACCCAAGGGTTGTGGGTTCGAGTCTCGTACCGGCAGGGATTGTGGGTGGGGGGAGTGAATGTACAGCGCTCTCTCCCACCTTCAATACCACGACTGAGGTGCCCTTGAGCAAGGCACCGAACCCCCAACTGCTCCCCGGGCGCCGCAGCATAAATGGCTGCCCACTGCTCCGGGTGTGTGTTCACGGTTTGTGTGTGTTCACTGCTGTGTGTGTGCACTTTGGATGGGTAAATGCAGAGCACTAATTCCGAGTATGGGTCACCATACTTGGCCACATGTCACGTCACTCACTTTTTCACTTTCATTAAGTGAATCCACACATTAAAACCTGCACATATTCTCGCTTAACTTGAACACAGTTAAGCACACACCAAACATGATCACAATGAAAGCTATAAAGTGACTCTTAAGTCCCAGGTGAAAAAGACGTAGTATTAAATGTATTAAAAATATACTTGAAATTCAAGTAGTATGTTTATAATACATTTGTATTCCCAACATGCTTATTTGAAGTGCAATAAAAATATATTGAATTGCATTTTAATATATTTGAAAAAGCACAATTTAAATATATTTCTTTTTCACCTGGGGTCGCACTTAAGAATCCCATTGAATTAGATATAAAATATCAACCCAAGTGGAGTTTATTTTTCAAGTAAAAAAAAAAGTTTTAAATGCTATAATAGAAGATATACTGGTACTTTATGGCAGTCACAAATAGTGGAATATTCAGAAACGGGAATTTAGTTCTGAGAAAAGCTTAGAATCATTTAATTGCAGGTGCCTAATTTTGTATCTAATGCAATTAAACTTCAAATACTTTTTGGGGCCACTGCATCACTATAAAATAATGTTTTCCACTTATCTAACATCTGTCCAAATGAATCCATTGGAAGTAACAGATTGCTCTCGCTCTTTTTTTTTTCAGATGTAAACGACAATGTTCCCTTTTTCATGTCATCCACATATGAGGCGACGGTCCCAGAGGGTGCGGAGATTGGCACATCAGTTGCTCAGGTCTCAGCAACTGACCTGGACTCTGGTCTCCATGGAATGGTGAGACTCTTCTGATCATGGTCCTTCCTGGTTCTCCCTAAAGGCCAATTCACACTGCACTGACAGACGCAAACAAATGGCAACACATATCGTCGGGTTTTGTTGGCACATCTGTTGATGTTGGTCGGCGCTTGTTTTCGCCGATTTAACATGTTGGTTCTTCTGGTCTTGAAATGTCTGAGAACTGACGTGTTGTAATCTGGTGACTGTCTTTACTAGTCTGCGTGTGTTGGTGCAGTGTGTATTGGCCTTAAAACTCTCAAACTACCTTGCAATGATTCTTAGAATACTTGATGCAAAGTTCTTTTTTAATCTTGTTTGGCACTCTTTCCTATCTAGATTAACTACATCATTCTGAAGGATCAAAGTGGGGACTCACAGTTCTTTAGCATTAATTCCTACATGGGCATCATCCACACCCGGTCCACCTTCGACCGTGAGCAGAAAGGCTCCTACTTGATCGAGGTCCAGTCTCAGGACAGCTCAGAGTCGGCCCGACCCGGTCAGCAGGGTCAACCCAACACAGGTGTGATCCATAAAGCATGTCTTCCTAACCTCTCAGTCACTCTGTTTCCCCCTTCACCAATTACAGCAGGGCACACCAGCCTCCAGGATGAATTCCATTCATTAAGACTTCAATGAGTCACGCCTAATGAAAAACTAATGCCATCCCAGGGATTTGTGTGTAATATAGACTGTGTATAATATAATAAGGCTGCAGTTTTAATATTAAACAGTCATTAGGATGTTTAATACAATTTATAGAATAAATCATTACTACAAATTATTATTACAAATAATAATTTCTCATTAACATTTTTTATAAAGTCTGTGTTCTTGGAAATATGGTTTCATAAAAACCCCATTAATACTTTTATTCAGCAAGGATGCGTTGATCAAAAGTGACGACAAAGGCTGATACAAAAATGTTAGTTTCAAATCACTGCTGTTCTTTTGAACTTTCTATTTATCAGACCGGTCTTAAAAATTGCATCAATGTTTCCACAAAAATAGTCAACTGTTTTCAACATTGATAATAATAAATGTTTCTTAAGAACCGAATCAGCATATTACAATGATTTCTGAAGGATCATGTGACACTGAAGACTGGAGTAATAGTTGCTAATAATTATGCTTTGCCATCACATGAATAAATTACATTTCAAAATCTAGTAAAATGGAAAGCTGTTATTTTAAATTGTAATAACATTTCACAATATTACTGTTTTACTATATTTTTGATCTAATGCATTCTGGTGAGCATAAGAAACTTCTTTCAAAAACATAAATATAAATAACTCTTACCAACCCCAAAGTTTTGAACGGTTCTGCAAATATACAGTGGGTACGGAAAGTATTCAGACCCCCTTAAATTTTTCACTCTGTTATTACATTTCAGTTGAGCTTCAATGATTAAATTTCATCATACAATGAAATGCCAATGACTTTGTTTTTGTTCTTTTTCTGTTTTGTTGTTTTTGTTCTCCCATCTTGGTTTGATTTATAAATTAATTATCCAGAAAGAACAGCTTTTCTCTTGAGAGACTATAACAGTGTTTCCCAACCTTTTTTTATTCGCGGCACCCTTTGGAAATTTTAACAAACTTGTGGCACCCTACAAAATTAATTTTGTCACAATATTTGAATTTCT